CTAAGCAAAAGAAAAAGAGTACAGCTACTCCCCCTGATGTTGATCACTGAAAATCTTTGAGTTGACGCATTTCGATATCATGAACTAATTTCTCGAATGTAGATGTTGACAGTATTTTTGTGAATAAATCAGCCACATTGCCACTTGAGAGAATCTATTAGATATCAATGTCGCCATTCTTCTGAAGTTCGTGTGTATGAAAGAATTTTGAAGAAATGTGCTTCATTTTGTCACCTTTGATATAGTCTCCTCTGAGTTATGCAATACAAACTGCATTGTCTTCATACAAAATTGTTGTACTATCTTTCGTTGAGGTTAATTCGTATAATGCTTGAATATGATGAGTCATGTTTCTCAACCATACACATTATTGGCTTGCTTCATGAATTGCAATAATTTCATAATGATTTGAAGACGTTGCTGTCAATAATTGTTTCACAGATCTCCATGACACAACCGTTCCTCTACTTGTAAACACATAACCTATTTGTGATTTAACTTTATGTGAGTCAGATAGATAACCTGTATCCATATCTCACTAAAGTAGATCCTGACTTTTGAAAATAAAATAATCCCAAATCATTGATACCCTTTAAGTAACAAAAATACGTTTAACACTATTCCAATATTTTTGAGTTGGTGTAGAGCTATATCTTGCAAAGAGATTTACAGAAAAAGTTATTTCGGGTTGAGTGCAATTTGCAAGATAAGTTAATGCTCTAATTGCACTAAGATATAATACTCCAGGATCAAAAACATTTTCTCCATCTTCAAGTGGACAAAATAGATTATTTTTCATATCGAATGATCGAACAACTATGGTGATGCCAGTGGATATGCATTATTCATATAAAAGCATTTTAAAACTTTTTTTTTGTATACATGGATTGATGAACAAATAATCTTTTTGAGAAATGTTCAATTTGCAACCTAAGACAAAATTTGATTTTTTTCAAATCTTTCATCTCAAATTCATTTTTCAAATAACCAGCAGCTTTGTTGAGCTCTTTAGGAGTTTCAATTAAATTTAAATCATCGACTATAATTGCAAATTCAATATTTGTTTTCTTTATGAAAACATATGGGCGGACATAGTCATTTTCATAGCATTCATTCAATAAATATTCGCTAAAACGATTATACAACATGTGTCCAGATTGTTTTAATCAACATAATGATCTAAAAAATGGATGATTTGAGTTATACTTCACGTATATTAAAATTTTCAAATATAACATTAATAATCATGCCAGTTTAGTTGACTATTACGTATTTCAAATTTTATGTATTATCAAGATAACATGATAGAGACTCGTGATTTCATCCATGACGATCTTTGCGAAATTCACTATGTTGAGAGTTGAGCATTACACATTACGACTTTATTTTTCTCATTTCTTTTTCGTATAAGTATATACTTTTAGATTTTCGGGTTACAGGTCCAAAAATTTCGTGTTTATCTAGTAAATTCAATTTAAGATTGCGTCTCCTTTTATTTGGCCAAACATTATTTCGATCGATATATTTTGACGCATTTATTTCGATTCCTTGCGATTCACATATAATACTGTATATCATGTACAAAATTGTTGTCGACAACTTTTTCTTTTCTTGTTCGATTCTATTTCTTTTTCCATAATGACATAACTTATTTAGATATCCCAATTTTCAATATATCAGGTACATGAACCTCTTCTGAGGTTTTATATTTGTTATGTCTAAATACTCATTAAGAGTCTTTAATGAAACCATCTTTGTTAATTGCTCCATTTTTATTTGAAGATTTTTTTATTAGAATTGAACATCATCACACTTCAGGCGTGCTATAGATATATCAAATATAATACTAACAAATTATCTCCTAAGACATCAATTCGTATTGGAGTATTAAAAATTGGCGCATGAGATACTGTTGATCTCTTTGATCAATACATGCATCTAAATAAATTATCTTTCGAACTTCTGGTTCAAATGATATTTAGTGAGGGTTTAGATTATGATGCATTTATATATTATTTTCAACTTCTTAATTCCTCCCCTAATGCTGAGAGAATTGTCCAATCAAATTGATAATCATTTTTTCAGTGTTATAAAATATCGCACATTTGAAATAATAGTTCAAACTACGTACTTATTCTCAACATTCTTTGTTTTCTATCTCAGTGTATTGTGGTGTTCAATTTTTACATATACTACACCATCAAAATAATTAGATGGAAAAAGTAGGATCTAACTATAAGCTGATTATAATAGGGAGAACTGTGATTTTGACATGATGCATAATAGAATTTTCTAAATAAAAATGGAAAGTACTTTATTCTCAATAAAATTAATTAGATGCACTTAACAAACAATAGTGTTAAACCATTAATCGACAGCTCAACTAACACTTATTAAAATGTTGAGATTTATGTCCACTAGCATTAACAAGACATAGTTTGATTATATAATCTGAAAATTATGCTCATAACTTCAGTAATAATTTCACAAAATTTCAGGTTGCGAACACTATGCAATCATATAATATTTATGTCAAATCTATTAGATTAAAATAATATTTAGATGTTTAACATTAATTTTCAGAAATATAGGGAATTCAATCCCTATTTTAGCTAATGATGTTTAATGATCAATTGTCGATAAAGAGAACAAATAATATATAGGAATTTATTGTATTGAAAAATCTTCTGATTCTTCATTTAATATCCATTCAAAATTTTAATTTTGCATTATTGTTGATCCAGTGATGGTTCAACTGGTCATATCTAATAATAAAATCAAATCGAACTTCTGGTTCAATATAATATATAATTCAATTATTTAATATCGAAGAATATGATTAAATATTATATAATCATGTATCATTCAAGTAGTCAAATTAATCAATGTTTTAACAACATTAGTTTTCCTTCAGGGATAAATATGAATTCAAAATAATATATTTTTCGAAACATGTGCTACTTTAAACAACACGTTATATTATTATTATTATTATTATTATTATTATTATTATTATTATTGCTAATTCAAAAGTAATACATCAATATCCTTCTGAAATATTAAAAATTATAATTCATGCTCTTTGCGAGAAATCAAATATTATTATAATAAATTATATAATAATTTACTCTTCGAGTGTAAAAATATAATTTATGTTAAATTATATGTAATTATACTTTTTGAGAGCAAATAAGATCTACTAGAATATTAATGAAAATTATAATGTGCTATTTTGAGATCACATTATATTTTATTATTACTTCTTCAAGAACAATAGATCAATATTCTTCTGAAATATGAAAAATTTTAATGTCATGCTCTTCAGGAGTAATAACATATTATTGTTTACAGTAATAATTATGTAAAAATTTACTCTTCAGCAGTAAAAATATAATTTTATGTTAGATCTTATATCATTATGCTTTTCAAGAGCAATAAAATCCAACAAGAACATCAATATGTAATTACGTATGCAGAAAAATGGATACGTAAATAAATAGAGTAATTTAATTCGTGATTTTACATATAATCAATCAATATTTTTCAGGAATACTAAATTATAATATTATATTCTTTTTTAAAATATTAATAATATTGTGTTTTTTCAGGAACACCAACAAAACTTTTTTTTTTTTTTTTATATAAAAAGTGCTTTATTTGGGAATACAATGAGAAATATAATTTTCAAGAGCATAAATACAATATTCTTTTGAAATATCGACATTAATGATTCATTATATCTTTCGAGTTAAATAATAAAATTTATGCCCTACATGAATAACAATGAAATATTCATCTTGCATATTTATATAACACGTGTTGTGTTTTTTCGAGAACATCAACATTATATTCGTTTAAAATAAATATAATTTAAATTAATCTTCTTCAGGAGCATTGAATCAATATTCTTTTGGAATATTAAACTTGAAATATCATACTCTTTATAAACATGTAATATTCTTCTAGAATATTAATAATGTTGTGCTACTTCAGGAGCAACAACGAATTATTTATAATAGATAGATATACAATTAATATTCTTCTGAAATATTAGTTATAATATTGTGCTACTTTTGGAACAATAAGATGATAAATTCTTAATTTGAAGTTCATAGAAGAATATCTAAAAATATTTAATTACCATATAGACATGATATGAATTTATATAGAAAAATTAGTTACCAAACATGCATTAAGAAAAAGAATCTCTATACATAGAAGTTAACAAAATTGGGTAAATCTCTTATCAACATGCGAAAGATACTAAACATGCATATGAATTTTACATATATAGAAATTAAACATAGAACTAATAAATGCAATGAATTCAAAAGACAGAATTAATATTAAATAATGTGGAAAAATGATCATGTATGAATAAAAAAAAATGAATTAATATGTGTTCAGATTACACATACAAACGTGAATTAGAATTAATATGCATGTCGATGAAAAGTAAAGAAGAATAGTCAACCTCGTTATTATGCATATGTATATTTAAATATTTCATATGTTACCAAATTAATTTTGGTATCGCGATAAATATTCATGTCTATAAAAATTATTACCTTCACTAAACTTTGAAAGATTAAGCTATTTTGCTGATAACGTGTTATAAAAGTGAAAAAAAGAGAAAAGAACAGAGAGAAGTCAATAGATTTGTGTGTTTTATTAAGAATCAAAGCCCTATATTTATAGGACAAAATCAGGGATAGAACAATAATAATTTTTAGAACTGCAGGGGTATAATTGTCATTCATCTCTAAACCTATAAACTTACCTTTTACAACAAAATATTTTATTGGCCTCGTTTGGTACATATTAATGTAAAAATGAGAATGAAAATTGTAGTCGTTACGAGCTCTTTACAAAAGATAGAAAGTCAAATATATTGGTTTGATATGATGGATAATGATCGTTTTTTTTATTTTAATGGAGAAGTTATGGGAAACAAATGGAGCTATATTTCATATGCAAATATGAATTTTTTCCTTTCCTCTATGTTTAATAGTCCAAATGGCCCGTGTTGTCTTGGGCCATCACTGGGAATTCAAAATTATTTACGAGTCCATGCCGTCGCGATGCCGTCCGTTAACAGCTGCCCAGAAGCCCTATTCTCAGGCCAATATTCATCGTAACTTCAAACACAAATGCGCAACAAGATAGAAACGGAGGTTTTCCTATCGGATCACATCATAATTCAATAGAAAAATGGCGGAAGATTTGGTATTGGACACGGCGATCAGAGACTGGGTGTTGATACCACTATCGGTGGTTATGGTGCTAATCGGAATTCTTCGTTATTTCGTATCCAAGCTCATGCGCTCATCCAATCAAGTTCCCGATCCCAAAATGGTCAAAGAAGGGTATACTATTAATTTTGTATACATGCTGTTAGGTGTGTGTAAGTTACTCTGGATTTCACTTTTTTCCCCCTTTTCCAGTCAAGTGGTAATTAGGGCAAGGAATCTGAGGGCAGCTGCAAATTTTATACCCGCTAAATCATTTCGTGCTCGTAGGGTTTATTTCTGCAACGAGGTAGGAATTTTTTTCTCTCTCTCTCCCAAGCTCATGCGCTCATCCAATCAAGTTCCCGATCCCAAAATGGTCAAAGAAGGGTATACTATTAATTTTGTATACATGCTGTTAGGTGTGTGTAAGTTACTCTGGATTTCACTTTTTTCCCCCTTTTCCAGTCAAGTGGTAATTAGGGCAAGGAATCTGAGGGCAGCTGCAAATTTTATACCCGCTAAATCATTTCGTGCTCGTAGGGTTTATTTCTGCAACGAGGTAGGAATTTTTTTCTCTCTCTCTCCTTTTTTAATCTGTTTTATACTAATTTTGTGGTAAATTCTGATTGAAGATTGAGTTCAAAATTTGACATATATGTACATAATTAAAAAATTACGGATGGAAACATAGGGATGTAAGCTGATTACTTCTGATAGGTGATAGTGTTGTATTGAACGTTGGTGATTTTCTGATTGGTAAGTATAATAAAGAGGGTAAGAAATAAAGGTCTCTATTGGATTATGCCCCAATTAACTAATAAATGAATGAATGGAATATTGATTTAGGTGACATTCTAACTCAATTGTGTCAATGTCCTAGTCGCCGGTGACATTAGATTAGTGTAAGGTTATCCTTCAACTGGAATGAGAAAGAAATTTAAGGCAAATATTATGATTATTTGAAGAAATAAGACATAAGAAAGGAATGGACTGTATGGTGATCGAAATGGGCTTGTTGAAATGAGGCAAGCTGAATTACGACCATTTGGCTACGAAAATATTCCTTTGTCACTTCATTTACTCCCCGCATATCTATTTTAAGGGAAAATACTCCTAAATGTTTTACAACTAATACTTCTCTGGATGACAAGTATATAACATGTTTTAGTAGTTTGACATAAGAGGACAAACTGGCAAGACTTGAGGAACTAGATGAAATGGCAAATACTGCTTAACTACAAATTGTAACTTACCATTGTCTTGGGAATCGAGAACTAAATGTTTGGTTTATAACTTCTGATTGCAATCTTCTTTCAGCAGTTTTATGATCAATCTTTTCACTTCCAATCATTTTAAGCTAAGAAAATTAATTCTAGATATTATATTCTCTTGTGCTTAGTACTTAGAACGAAGCACATACACTCCTACTAGGGATATCCATCCGTGTCTGACATGTTTGGACATCAACATTCCCTGAACATTTCCAACAAGCCACATACCTTGTCCTATTTTTTTATATATTTTAAAAATTTCTAATGCTAAAGAGACACTTTAGGTACCCTCTTCGCTGGCAAATGTTCAACATGACATGTGCCGTCTCCTATAGTAACAAGTATAAGAGTACAGAAATAATATATCAAATTTAAATTTTTAAAAACTTAATCAATGTGTCCGTATCCGTGTCCTACGGAACAAAAAAACTTGTATTTGTCTCGTTTCTTGTCGTGTTCATGTTCCACGTCCATGTTGTTGCTTCTTTGATGGTTACTAACGTTGGAATTTAGGAGATTAACATATCAACGTCTCCCTTTTTCCACTGTTTTTTTGTATATGAACAAAAAGGCAGACTTCATGCTAAGAGAAACACGGTGCGTAATTTCGTCTGACTATTAATTTAAGTGTTTGTAAGTTAACATCCATGAACATCTGTAGTATACAAAATGGGGGTTTCGATGGATTTGGACCATTAAACAAGTGTGAAGGCACGTTACAGCTTATATGATAATTAAGCTTGTCTTTCCCTAGTTAAGTAAATCAGCTGGATAATTTTCAGAAATAGATAGATAGTAGTTTTCATTTGTTTTCACTTTTCAGAGGACACAATCGTCTTTGAATATTACATTAGCCAAATGTTGTGTTGAGTACATTGAAATCAACTGTTATACCTTTATGTGCTAAAACTCTTAGTTCACGTGATGGGATCATTTTGCCCCTCAAAAGTGCTTTTGAAAGATGGATCCAATATCTCCCATTTATTATAGCCAAGAGGTGGCATTCTTAGCATAGGAACCACTTTCTGATATCAGTATTTGTGTTTTCAAAACGTTAATTGTTGCTGTTATATATATATATATAGCACAAGTGCACCAGTTTATGGGGAAATCTTTATATGTAACATTGCAGGAGAATGGATTACTTTATGTGCCCAAGGGCCAAACTCAAAATGCGCAGGCACAGATGTTCTCTGATCCGAATATGGCCATGGATATGATGAAAAAGAATCTTTCAATGATCATACCACAGGTAATTCTGTTGCATACTTAATGGCTTCATATTGCCAATAACACTGACAGAAATATATGATGACAAAAATATACGATGTTCTTAATGTGTTTATTTATTTATTGGACAGACACTTACATTTGCATGGGTTAACTTTTTCTTCTCTGGATTTGTGGCAGGTCTGTATTTTTCCTTATTTCCTTATTTTGTACTGTCAGTGTCATCGCATATCGGAATTTTCAACTAAATCAGCGTGCAATATTTCTGACTGAACAATAGATCTTGTCATTAACGTTCTTTTCAAGCTAACTCCATGATCTTTTTCCTTTTTTTCTTTTTCTTTTTTAATGTTTTCGTTAGTGGATTTTTTCACTTTGAATCACCTACATTATATTTTCTTGTGTTGTCATAATATGTTTTCATTCTAATATCCATACTGGCTGACATGGTAACTGTACACATTTGTCCAGCTAAGATACCATTTCCACTTACTCAGAGGTTCAGGTCAATGTTACAAAACGGTATTGATTTGAGTACTGTTGATGTCAGCTATGTCAGCAGTCGATCATGGTATTTCTCCAACTCATTAGCAAAAATTATTGTCGTTAAGTTGGGCTCTTACATTACCGTACAGCCGTAACGCATATGATGATTAACTATTGGTGTCATTTAGGTATTTCCTCAATCTATTTGGGCTGAGAGGTCTATTCAGTCTTATTCTGGGAGAAGAAAATGGTTGGTATCTCTTAAACTTCTACTTCTTTTATAATTTAATTGGTCTCAGTTATTTTTTCCTTCATACATATAAAAGATAACAATCATACGACTGGAGTCATGGACAAGTATCTATTTCAATATTGGGTAGTTACTTTAAATCTGATCTGGCATGAACACGTCTGTTTGATGCAGCAACTGATGACACACAACGCATGATGCAAATGAGTGGATTTGGATTCGATCCGACAAGGGTATGCATGTTAACAGTTTTTCTCCTATTTCTTGATGATTGATGTCATCTGCTTTTTATTTTTTATTTTAATTTTTTCATTTTTTTTTTACATTAGTTTGTTTCATCTAAAACCTTTTCCCACATAGGGAGAAGTTAGATCTTATGTACTTTGCATTTAACTTCCACCAGATAATCGGTACAGACTTAGAACGGTACCTTTAACCAATCTTCTGATATTAAAGTTCCCGTTTGCATCTCTCATGAACTTAACAGACAGATTTTTGTCAATAGGAATTAACCCTATTGTTCAGTTTGCATAGAATCTTTTAATTATGACTGCTATCTATATTATGTGAACTTCGAAGATTTTTTTAGTCTATAAATGTAGGATATCTGGGCACCAGAAAAATTTAAGCACATCATAACGTCGTCACACATACTCGATTACTAAGATATATTCCTTCTAATCTTTTATATTCTGTGCACATATATTTGGATAAGTTCATGATGATTTTGTCTTATTTTTACACAATTCTGGTCAGAGTTTGGGTGCAGAGAAAGACAGTCTAGACATTGTTCAACATGAATGGACCTTGCCAAAATTTGAGCAGCGGGCAGAAGCTGTGTTGAAGAAACTCGTCAGTTGAGAAACTGTAAGAGCATGTAACCTTACCCCTTCGTGGTGTTACTTCATTACTGGTGCACGTGTGGCCTCAAATGTTAGCACAGAAATGAGTGAAGACGACTGGTTGCCGAGCTTATTGCATGTATTTTGTATCGTGTTGATTTATAATTTAAGGTGTTGTCCCGAATTCTAGTTGTTAATTTTGACAAATAGTTCGCTCTTATACTCCCTCATTCAAATGATGTGTGCTTTAATGACAAGAATTCTGCCAACTTTTTTGGCAAAAAAATTGAGAGCATCCGAGGTTCTATTTTGGAAAGGCTGGTGATGCTGACAGACAGCCCTTCAACGGTGGACCAAGTTCCAAAGTAAACTAAAGTAGAAAAATAAAGAGTTGCGGAGTATTCGTAATTGTAATTTCGAAAGAAAAAGCATGTCTGGTAGGACAACGTTGGACTAAAGTGTTTAGACAATCATAGTAGAATACTAAAGCTTTGGGACAATAATGGCAGAATATCAGGCACAATTAAATGTCGTCCTCAACTATAGGCAAGATAGACAATCGTCTATGGTGCTGTTTGGGTGAATGTTTCAAATTATGTAAGGTTAAATGGTTGGTTGAAAAAAAAAACAAAAATGATAATTATAAAATTCTTTAACATAAAATAATCATATGCAAATACAAAGAACTAATAAAAATTGAAAATACAAAAATCTTTTGAAAAAATATAAATGACATAAAACAAACTTACTAATTACATTTATTTATTACATAAATAAATCACAAACATTATTTTCTCTTTATAACTAATTTGATTTTTTTGCCTTCAAAACATCCATTTTCTTTTTTTAACCAAACAAAATGTCTATTTGTCTCTTCAAATTACATGTCCAACAGTATGTCATCATAAATTTTTTCAACCCAGCAATAAATAAATTATTTCCCTTTGATTTAAAGTTTTAAAGATTCACTTCCTTGGGAAATCCGATGTCTTAATACCATTATTAATAACCTTTTATTCGGAGCTGCCACAACTTGGAATTCATCATATTATTATTATAGTTTACGTTATAGTAACTATCATTTTACTATCTTTCAAGGTCGAATGTCCAGTGGACAACTTTAAAAGTGATTGACTCGGTCAGGGGTTCACTCAATTTTGAATTTACACTAGTAAAAATGGCACCAAATCATGCATGTATGAAGGTTGAACCTCAATATTAAGGGTCTCCCACCATTCTGTCTCTGGAGCATCGTGAGAGAGGTTAATAGTAGGATGTGCCCCAACAGATCAGAGAACAAAAGTTGCCCGTACACTGGTGCCCACAAAAAGTCTCAATCCATGTTTTAGAAAACAAATCATGCATGTATGTATGTTTAGCCTATAGTGTGTGACATCATCAAATAATAAGTGTATAAACTTTTAACAATCTTGTTACGGTGACCAGGGGCGAATTCAAACGACTTGAATTAGGAAGTCAAAAATAAAATTTATAGGGCATATTCTAAAACTCA